CTTCTGATTGCTACTTTCAGCAGGATAATGCGCCATGTCATAAAGCTGGAATCATCTCAGACTGGTTTCTTGAACATGACAATGAGTTCACTGTACTCAAATGGCCTCCACAGTCACCAGATCTCAATCCAATAGAGCATCTTTGGGATGTGGTGGAACGGGAGATTCGCATCATGGATGTGCAGCCGACAAATCTGCGGCAACTGTGTGATGCCATCATGTCAATATGGACCAAACTCTCTGAGGAATGCTTCCAGCACCTTGTTGAAGCCACGAAGAATTGAGGCAGTTCTGAAGGCAAAAGGAGGTCCAACCCGTTACTACAGTGGTGTACCGGTGAGTAAATCTTCCATAAAGTTACAACAATTTTAAGGACGGGTTTTATTTATCCTTTGTGCATGCAAAAATAATACCTAAGTCGTGTGTTTGTGTCTTGTGCATTACATCAATTATTCAACAATGTCATGTGTACACTTTATAGATATTGGTTTTATTTTGCCTTGCAGTGCCCGATTGGTAGAAGACACCAAACGTATGAAGACACAGGAAAGACTTTACCTTTTACATCAGGTATATACATCATATGCTTTCATGGGCTGTCACTTCTTCCAAAAATCGAGTAACAAACCAAATCCAATCCCAGCCACAGCTGCAGGGAATGTAATGGCAAATTGGCTGCTGAAATAGAGTTGGCCAAAATGATATTGCAGCCTTACTGTTTGAGTTAATTTTGCAATAGTAAAGGCATGTTAGGTTTGAAAAATACCATAATGTCATTCACTTTCTTTATTTTTGTATTACCCTGTGCTGGATAAGACATTCCCCTCCAAAAAAAAAAAAAAAAACCCACTCCAATTTTTTGCTAACTGGAGACAGTCTACTGATTTTTGGTGTAACGCATACGCCCTGATGCATTCGTGTTGTGCCAGCTGGAAACGATTGACTGATTTATTTATTTATTTTTCGGTATAATGCATAAGCCCTGATGCATGTTGTTTTTCACCACTCTTTGTAAACTCCATACATAAGTGGCTATAACTGAAGGTCAACTAAATATTCAATTTTCTAATTTTCTTTAACAGTTCATTTCCACATATTCATGGTTTAGACATTGATACTGTCAACGCTGCTTGATCAAAATAAAGCCATTAATTCTTATTAAACGGGTCACATGTTGTTTTTACTGAATTGAGAGATTTTTATTTCATTTTGGTTCTGGGCTAAAGAGTGATATGTGGCCATCACATTGACACAGATGATTGTTTGAATGTGCCTGGATCTTGATGGGGTTTGCCAAGTTGTAATATAAATTTTAAAAAATTTAAAACTTTTTTTTTTTTTTAAAGAATCCAAATAGAACACCCTCACTGACCACCAGTTTGACAAAACCCAAACCAAATTTAGATTCAATTTCTCCATGTTCAATTCTTAAATCTTCTTTTTTATCAAACACACTTAATCGTATTATTAATTCTTTTTCAGGCATATGCTATTGGGCAGAAGAGATCACTTGAAGGAGAAAGGAGCTTGATTGAAGAGAGAAGTTTGAGTAATGCTCTTAGGTTGACCTCGCACATTGATGGTTCATTAAATGGAGAGGGGACTTCAAGAATGGAAGAGAATGCGCAACAACATTTGGATTGTTTAAAAGATGATGACAAAAGAAACAATGAGCAACTTAATCTGGAAAACATCCATAATGGTGCTAATGATCCATCTGATTTCAAAGGCACTGGTTCTGAATTGCCCATCAACCATAATAATAATGAAAAGGAGGAGCAGAGACCATCAGAGGAAGATGAGATGTTGGATGACACCAAAGGTGGTCTATCAAGTGAAATTGATTTGGATGCCGAATGGATTTTCTCAATGAGTGACGAAAAAACACAACTAATGAACAACACAAACCGGCAGGGTTCTCCTGAAAAAGCAAATGACTCAAATAATGTGAAGAACAAAGTTTCAGGTTTGGATGGCACCGATATAGATGTTTCTAAACAGATCTCCAAGGAGACTGATAGAAGGCAATCACTACGGCAGAGAAAAAAATTGGAGAAAAAAGAACCAGTGCGATCGAGTCAAAGGACCTGTAAAAAAATACTTGATACAACATGCTCGGAGGAAGAGGAAAAAGAGCCGGGCAAAAAAGATTTTTGTTTGTACTGCAAAATGTCTTTCACTCAGCTTGCAAAGCACTTGGAAAAAAAACATGCGGAGGAGACGGACGTTGCTCACGCAATACACTTTCCCAGAGGTTCTAAGGTCAGGCAGTCTCTGCTCGACCAAATACGAAATGAAGGAAATTATGAGCACAACTGCCGTCTTCTCAAAAGTGGTGAATGGGAAAATGTCACCAAGAGACTGCTGAAAAATCCAAATGTACCTGTCCGGGATTTCCTGCCGTGCCAGTACTGCCGCGCATTCTACCGCAGAACTGAGTTATGGAGGCATGAGCGATCATGTAAGGCAAGAAAGGGAGAGGAGAAACCCACTGAAAAGTTAGAAGTTGCCAGCTCTGGTGCTTCCAGGTTGCCGCCAATGTCGGAGATCTTAACTGAAGGCTGTGAGGAAATCATCCAAGTCATGCATCAAGATGACATTTCAAGACACATCAGAAATGACCCACTCATATGCAAATATGGCAATGCCTTGTCTGCTAAATATGATCACGACAAGTCTCAGTTTGCTTATATTGCACAGAAGATGAGGGAACTGGGACGATTTGTACTTGCAGTAAATGAACTTGACAAGAGTGTTAAGTATTTGCATGAAGTATGCCAACCCTCCAAATTTCAATTGGCAGTTAAAGGGGCCAAAAAACTTAGTGGTTTTGATCCAGATTCCCGTACGTTTAAAACTGTCTCCCTCATCACCAAGATTGGCTACTCTTTAAAACGAGCCGCAGAAATCGCCTTTGGGGAAAGTCGCATGACTGAAGACAGTGAGAGCGAAAGTGAGGTAAAAACCTTTATTGAGCTCCTTGATACGACGTGGAGTGAGTGTTTTTCTCGCACAGCTTTTGCATCATCAATAAAACCAGAGGTAAAAATTCTGGACAGGTCGTTTGTGACAGATGATCTAATTAAGCTGCGACGGTTTATCACCACTGAGGAGGAGGAAGCTAGGAGGGACCTGAAAATCACTCCTTCTTTGTCAACCTGGAAGAAGCTGAGTGAGGCTACGCTGGCAGACATTTGCTTGTTTAACAGAGCGAGGGTTGGAAACATCGGGAGATTGCTTTTGCAGACTTACAACTGCAGGAAGAGAAACGAGGCCTCGGTGCTTTCTGCCGATCATGTAAGGAAATGCACAAAATTAGAGCTAGAACTTGGGACGTTGCTCACAAGATTGGAACTCGAGGGTCAGTTTGGCAGAAACATGCTCGTTCTGCTGACGGAAAGAATGGTTCTGTCAATCGATTTGCTGAATGAAAAACGATACCTGGTGGGTGTTTCGCAAACAAATCCATACCTGTTCGCTCGGAATGAAGGTCCGTCCTTCATTCGAGCGTTGGACTGTTTCCGAAGGGCTGCGGTGGAATCCGGAGTTAAAAACCCAGAAGCACTTCTGTCGTCTTCAGCAAGAGAACAAATTGCCACTTGTTGGCAGCTAATGAGTCTAAATCGATGTGAATTGGACCTGGTAGCTAAGCTGGCAGGTCGCAGCAGCCAGGAGTGTTACAGTTTATCAAAAAATACATCCCAACTTGAAGAAGTTAGCAAAGTACTCATGAAAATGGAACGCTCATCACAGTCAAAGTCACCTACAGCTGCTAAAGATGGTGAGTCAGTTATTGTCCGTCCCTCTAAACTTTGCATCTCAATGTCAGATTTCCGTACAATCTATAGTTTTTAGCACGATAAATTATATATTTTATTCTTTAAGGTACGACACAGAAGTCTTCTTCAAAGAGACGGCCCTGGAGTGAAGACGAACAAGCTGCTGTAAAACATTACTTGGGCGATTTCATCACAAATATGAAGGTTCCCGGCAAAAAGCAATGCAATGCCTGCATAGCTGCCGAGCCGAGTCTGCGTGGAAGATCTTGGACGGATATCAAAAACTATGTACACAACACACTACAAACGTTACGAAGGAGACTAAAGCAGGGAAAGTCTGAACTGGACGTAAACACTTTCAGTCCAAAAAGGTGTAGAGCTAAATCCCAAACTAGAAAGCAAGATTTTATGGATGCAAACGATTGTTCTGCTGCTGCAGGACATGAAGGTGAACCCAGTGAGAGTTCAAACTGCTGTATACCAATGGCAGAACAAGTGAACATTCCAATGAGGGAATCACCGCTGTCGTTTCCTCATGAAATGAATCAGACGTATGCATCTTTGTGTTCCGCTAGTGCGAATATGTGTCATGAAAGTCAATCATTAGTTTCTTCTTTCACAACATTAAACGCAACAGATACACAAGTAGTTCCCACGTTTACCCCACACAACACTACTAATGCACTTATGCCTCCTGTGTTCACTTCAGAGAACAGCCATATGCTGCCGATGTCGTCGTACGCACAGAATTTGGTAGGTATGTCTTCTGTGTATACACCTCCTGACACCGCAGGTACGCAAATGATTCCCACTTACAACCCCCTGAATACCCCAAGTACTTCAATGGTTCCTACATACACGACACTTAATTCCCCAAGTGCACCAATGTCTGCATTCTCTTCACTAAGTGACAGGAACATGCCAATGGTTTCCTCATTCACACCTCTGAACCATATAGAAACACCAGCTTACCACACGAACCCACCCAGAGCCCCTGCGACTGCGCAGGTCGTCCCAACTATCCATGGATCGAACATTCCTGAGAGATCACCAGCATTACAGGAAAGTATACCCACGTCCTCCGCAACGAAGCAGGTGAGTACAGGCGTCAAGCCACAGAAGAGACACAAGAGGTTGTGGAGCGAGATGGAACAGGCGGCGGTGAGGCGGCAGTTTGGAGACTTGAGTAAACTGCTCAAAGTGCCGGGCAAAAAGGACTGTGATGCGTGTTTAGCTGCCGAACCTGCCTTGAACACTAGGACATGGAGGGAAGTCAAGTATTTTGTACACAACTCAATGCAGGCCTTTAAGAAAAGAGGAGTCGTGGCTGCTCCTAAAGAAAACAAACACCAAGAACCGCAGATTCCTAATTCACACTCGGATTGGGACGGTCCCGTTTACCTGTCCCTGTAAATTTGTGGACAGATGAAGTTGTTCAGAATCACAGCGACTCCAGGGGTGTGTGACTAATTCACTACTTTACTGAACTGTAGTAACTGTTCTGTCTTGCTTGAGTCGTGATCTTGGGGTAATGTTTACAGATGATGCCTTTCTTCAGTCAATTTCAGTATTCCGTCTTCAACACTAAGATTTGTGTGAGATGTTTCTAGGCTGGTTAATTACAATACAGAAGTTGAATAGTAGTTTAAGCTTTACAGATGCATTTCAAGGGTTAAAAACCCTTTTCTAGTCATTATTTTTGAAACTAGGTACAAAATTGTCCAGCAGTTGTCACTCAAAGCACAGCCTTTCCCCAGATTCTTTCATAGCGGGCCAGTAAACTAAAATACATTGATGCTATGTTGTTTTTCTGTTAACAAGTTCAACGGATTCAAATCCAAAGGATGTAAAAAGCTGCATGTCTTAGAGAAACTGGAATTGATCTCTTCTCTACGATATTACTTATTGGCAATTATCGCACCTGCATTTGGAAGAGTTATTTGATTGTCATTCAGATCATTCTAATTTGGTATGTTAGTTTAGCAAGGACGCTAACAGACAATAATGCTTGGGCTACTTCTTAAAATAAAGATAGAGAAGTCAGTAATGCACAGATTGCATAATTTTTTTAATAGAATGTCTATTTGTCCGATCAATAAAATTGATCAAATTTGTTTAGATCTGTGAGCAGTTGGCAATTATGATGAGTAATTTAAACCTCCAGCCAGGCAGTCTACCAAAAAAATGTACATGTCCTTCAAAGGAAATACAACCAAAAGGGCTCAGAGAACAACAAAAAACATTTCATTACCAGGGTTTGTCTCCTGTCTTCTGACTTAAAGTTACTCTCAGCAAGCATGCATTTCAAGATACATTTATTGCGTTCGTCGTTTCCACTACTTGCTTACTTTAAATGTCATTTTCTGCCTGAACTGTTGTGTTTCCGTTTCTTCCCAAATATGAATGGTCAAACCTCACCAGCAAGTCTTTCGTCACAGCCTCTGGTGTTAAATCGTTGTGTTGACTTGCTGACCTGAATGTCTGTGTGTCAGTGTCCCGCGCTTAATCCTCTAGATTAATGCATACTGTAAATGGTCTCTGATAGTCTGGGTAGTGAAACGTTTTCCTTTAGGTGTTAGAGCAATAGAAACTCAACTAAACATATATATGCATATATATATATACAACACATTTGTTAGTCATTTTCAATGATGTCTGTACATGCACTGTACTTGTCACCAATCTTCCAGTGTGTTTGGTAAACACTAGGTCTATTTTGTACCACTGTTCTTTTCCTGTTGAAGTACTTTATTTTTTATTTTAAATGTGCTCTAATTTAAGATATAACACACTTGCAGTGGTTGCAAGCATGTCGCATTTCTTTCACCTTTGCCAAGGTCATTCTTGACCACCAGCTCATATGATCTATTTATGGACTTTTCTGTTGCGTGCATAATTATAGCAAATTGGCTTTTGACCAATTTGCAGTCTTTGTAAAAGGTTTAGAAAAAAACCCCACTTATAATAAGTACAGTTGAGTTGGTTGAACTTCAATTCAGTGTTAGGTATTCAGAGGGAGTCTATTGGTCTTCCCAGCTTTTCTGTTTTTCTTTCTTTTATTTACCTTTATTTTAGGTAAATACAAGCCTGTAGTTGAGTTGTTTTTGTATAGACGATCAAGAAAATAATAGGAGCCAAAAATTATTTTAAACACAAATGTTTTCAAAGACAAAAAAGGTTTGTTTTGTTTTTGCTGGTAGCAGTAGCGAGGAAATCATTGTTATTTCGTTGTGTTGATCAGTTTGCTGACATTTTGACCATACAGTGGGAATCGAAAGTTTGGGCACCCCAGGTAAAACTTTATATTAATGTGCATAAAGAAGCCAAGGAAAGATGGACAAAATCTCCAAAAGGCATCAAATTACAGATGAGACATCCTTATATGGAGATTTCTGGGCTGTCTGTTACGCACTGCTCTGTTAACGTCTATCCATAGATTTTCAATTATGTTGAGGTCTTCAACTTCAACTTTTTCACAGATGGCATCAAGTTAGCGTCCAAATTTTTGCTGACTTTTTATTGAATCCATTTTTCCCTCTACTTGTGAAATGTTCCCTGTGCCACTGGCTGCAATACAACCCCAAAAGCATGATTGATCCACCTCCATGCTTAACAGTTGGACAGAGGTTCTTTTCATTAAATTCTGTGCCCTTCTCCAAACGTACCTTTGCTCACCAATCTTGTCTATATGTTCATTTGTGAACTTCCAACGTTGATTTTGGTGGTGAGCACAGAGGATTTGGACTGTTTTTGACATATAAGAATTTCTCATCTGTAATTTGATGCCTTTCGATCCCCACTGTACACAGAGCATTAAAACTGCAGTTTAGTAACACTCTGGAATCTAGCTATTTCTTTGTTTTTATCTGTTCTTTTAAAGAAAAGTCCTCCGTGGAACGTTCTGTTTTATTTTGTAAAATGTTGGTGGAAAACATTTTCTAAACACTGGTGTACATATCGCTCCGCATCCCGGTGTCATGATGTTTCCTTGGGTTGTTTATTCTTACCTGGTATTGTAAAGGACTTCAGCTGGAACAATAAATGTGTTTCTTTGCAGAGTTTGAAGGTTTCGCCAAGTGAATTTAATTGCTCTGATTAATGGATGTTTCCGAATTTCAGACAAATTGCTTCAGTGTTGTCTCTAAAGTTCAACAGTTTAAAGAGAAAAAGAAGAAATGGAATAAGGAACTGACTGTTTAGATGCGTTGACTCCTCTACTAGGAAAAGAACGTGATAAAAATGTCTTCATAGGAACACCACGTCCCTGACTTCCAGTTCGGTTATCTGGCTATGTGTCAACTTATTTCTGTACATTGTGTCTACAGGATGTCAGTGGGATGTCTTTGGCGATGCTGGCTGCAGCAGGAGGACAAGACGACATCCTTAGGTTGTTGATAAAGAAGGGAGTGAGGATGAATGGACGACAGAAGAACGGTACCACGGCCCTGATGCACGCTGCTGAAAAGGTACTTTTCCACCAAAGTGACTTGTATGTTTACAGATATTTTACCCCGTAACATTATTTATCATCTTGTTTGTCAGAACTTTCTGACAACTGTCGCCATCCTGCTGGAGGCCGGCTCCTATGTCAATGCTCAGGCTTTAAGTGGAGAAACTGCACTAATGAAGGTAGTAGAGAACCACTCTGGAATGACTGGAATTAATGCTGTATTTATGGCAGGTCAACGAATCATTTTGTAGTCCACTATTTCAAAACAAGTTGTCTTTTTCTACGATTCACAGGCTTGCAAAAGAGGGAACTTAGACATAGTGCGTCTCCTGCTAGAGTACGGAGCAGATTGCAACATCCAGTCCAAGCACAAGGCCACGGCCTCTTACTTCGCCAAGCTCAACAACCACCTGATGGTCTACGACCTCATCAAGGACCACAACAGCACGTGAGTTTTTTTTCCAAATAGTCATGTTTGACAGCAGGTTCTTGATGAACACCACATGAACGTGTGTTCCAGGTCCATCAGCATTGGTGTTATATTTGATACAAGATTCTGTCTTTTCATTCTAACTTCACAGATTGGTCAGAGTGACTCAGGAAACCATCAGAGCATATTTTGAATCTCGTCTGACCCTGCTGGAGAGCGTCTTTCCTCCGGCCTGTCACAGGCTCTGTGAGGGTCCTGACTTCTCCATGGAGTTTCCCTCCAAGTCTCAGCCGCCAACAGAAGGTTAAAAAAAACATTTTTTTATGTCCTTTTCCAGTTTTGTTCAATTGAATACACACTTTTTAAAATATAAAACCTGTAGCTTCTGTCAGTGCAGATCATAGATCATCTTACAAAAGTACTTCCTCACTTTAAAGCAATTTTTCAGGCACATCACTGTTTTGCTTTAAGGGTCCCAACAAGATAAGATTTGGGTTCAAAAACCAAAATATGTTGGGTTAGAAACAAGAAACTTATTTACTTTCCCTCTCCCTCAACATTCTAATCTTTCCTACTACCTGTTCCAGGGTCAGGAATCCTCCTCTTCATCTTCCATGCCAATTTCTTCAACGAAATCATAGCTCGGCTGTGCGGGCCCTGCAGTGTCCATGCAGTGGTTCTTAATGACAAGATCCAGCTGCCCATCTTCCTGGTTGGTTTGGCTTTAAAGGCTTATCTTTGTAACAAAATGCTTCCTTTTAAAAATATTGTCTAGTAACTGTAAATGCCCTCTTTTCTAATTGTTTGTTAAATCTCTAAACCTCCAGGATAGTCACTTCATCTACTCCTTCAGTCCAGTACCAGGAATAAACAAACTATTCATTCGTCTGGCTGAGGCACCGACAGCCAAGGTAACTGCTAACCAAATAATCCGAATAATTAGCAGCAATTGTGAGCTACCAGCAAGTTCACCAGTCCTTAATTAGACTAATTAGATTGCTCCTGTTCCCAGACTTGTATAGTGTGTCAGTACCTACTGTACATCCGTACTTGGTAGATACTGATTGCTTATTAATCATCGTGTTGTCTTTGCTGTTTGTTCTTGTTTTAGGTCAAACTAATTATTTGCGCATATAAAGTCCAGCTGCAGTGACTAACCATCGTCACTGCTCGCAGCTCCAAGACTTTCAAGACGGACAGGGTTTGTTGTTTGTCCATCGCCATTAAGCAGTTGGTTGATGAAACTAAACCCAGTTCAGACCATATACATATATATATGTATATATATATATATATATATATATATATATGTATATATGTATATA